TTCCTCTGTCAAAGACAACAAACAATAGTGAGTGAATGAATGAATGAATGAATGAATGAATGAATGAAAAAACCTTTTTCATGGCCAGCAGGATGAAGCCCAAACTCCATGAGCTGGTACAAGGGGCTACACAGTCTGTGGCCATTGTGCCCTGTGGCTTTTTCTCTGGCCATTCCTAAGATGTCTCTGAAGGTTCGGCCACATTCAACCCCTTCTACTTCTTGAACATAAAAGGCCGGCCTTTGGGGAGCTTTCTTTTATCCACTCCCTGTTCTTTGCCTGGAGTACTCTTTCTTCCCATTCTCTTCTTGGCAAACTCCTACTCCTGTAAAAGTCACTTCAGGCCTCTCATCCAGAATATCTTCTAGGCAAGATACTTGTCCCTTGCCCTTTGTTTATAAGCCATGAAAGAGCAGTTGCTTACATCTACACCTCAGACTGGATGTACTTGTCTATCTGTTGCCCTTTGAGCTATTACATCATATGTTTCATTCCTCTCTCTAGCCCCACTGCCCAGCAGCACACCTGCCCAGAGTAGAAAATCAGTAAGTGTTCAAATGAACATCTCTTTTAATATCACATGTTTTATGACACTGTTTGACAGATGCTGGGTTGAAGGAAGGACGTAATTTAATCACGTCTTTAGAGGGAGGGAAGATGCCCTGAGTAATAACTCAAGGTGACAGTTGAATGCTTTAGATACCAGGCAGAGTGAGGATTTTTATTTTGTTCTGAAAGTTAATGTGGTTTAAAAAAAATATTTATTGTCACAGGACAACTAAGTTCATTATATGCAGGGGCAGCAAAGAGGCCTATAAGCAGAGCCAGTATATATTTGTCTATGAATGTTTTCAAGCAATTGAAGAAAACTTGGTTGGGCTTCTAGGGTTCTTCCTAATAGTGGAGGACGTCTGGTGACCATATGTCCTGAGCTTTCTGGGGACAGGCCCAATTCCATGTCATTTAATTCCATTTCAGAAAGGTGATTTAATCTAGGTTTCATTCATTTGCAGTTTTAGAGCTTCATATAATTTTTCAAACACGTAAATTCCCAAGTCAAAATAAAAAATGTCTTGTCAGATTATGTGTTCTAACTTTTGATTCAGAAAATGTGGCCCTAGTAATGGGAAAGGCATCTTAAGGCTAGAGACTTTGGGGGTGAGGGGTAATTGGTACTTTTAGGAATGATTAACTAATAGATCCAGTCTCTTAAGATCCTTCCTTGTGATAGGTGATAACAAATGTGTATCAATTGGCTCTTGTGGCATAACAAAGATGCCAAAAACTTAGTGGCCTAAAACAGCAAGTATTGCTCAGAAATTCAAACCTGGTTCAGCTGAGAGATTCTCATATAGCTGTAGTTATCTGGTGGCTGGACTGGGGCTAAAAGATCTAAGATAGCCTAACTTACCTGGTCTGGCATTAGATGCTGCCTGTTGGCTGGGCCACATGACTTCAGCAGGCTAGCCCACACTTCTCCACATAGTAGCAGCATTTCAGAAGGGCAAGTCCAAAAGCGCACTTTACAAGCCTGTTTGCATCATGTTTTCTGATGTCCCATTGACCAAAGCAAGTCACGTGGATAATCCTAAACTCAATGTAGGAGGGGATATACAGGGTGAGAAAACAAGGAGATACTGTTCTCTGAGAGCTCAGCACTGTTACAATCTGCTACAATCTATCATCAGCAAAGTTTCTTCTTAAAATGGTACCAGCACTGGTACCCACTTCACCTAAAAGCTGAATCAAGTTGTATATGTATGGATTAAAAAGATGTGGGATAGTAATATGGAAAAGAGTTGTATCTGTTATGTAAAGATGGCTGCCTGTCATGGATGTTAGTAGTAGTATAACAATATAAACTCAAAGAAATGTTAATAGCTTTTGGTCTTCATAAGGAATGTTCAGATATTTGATATATCAGAACATTGGATATTTGATAATATTAAGAAACTATTTTAAGTGGGAAAGTGTATGTGGTTATGGTTTTTAGAAATCCTTATCTTTTAGGGATATATACTGAAATATTTACAGATAAAATGATGTGATTTTGGATTTACTTCAAAAAATACTGGCTGTATGGGGGGCAGGAGCAAGGAGTGGGGTATACATTTTTTGTGACTAGACTCGCCAGGAGTTGATCACTGTTCAATTTTCATGGGTGATGAGCACATCACAGTCTCTATACTCTTCAATACACTTTGTGTATTTTTGAAAATTTCCACAATAGAATGTTAGAAAGATTGCTTAGATCATTCAGTGGCTTCAAAGACTGGTGGAAGCTGTCACAGATGCCACCTTAAGTGGCTCCTAACTGCTCTCTCAGTAAGATGAGGTAGGGTGTGGAGGCAGTCAGTGCTCTATTCTGGAACCTGCTTCCTCCTCATTGGGTTTTAATTTACAAACAGTGTTTCACGTTTAAGTAATAGAGTTAGAAGGTTTTTGACAAGGGGTCTAACAAACGAATTACTCCAACACTTGGGCAGGATTAGGGATCTTTCAGGACAGGGTTTTTCTCACCTTGTGTTCTCATGGACGACACGCATTGCACTTGTAGTTCATTAGATCTGACACCACAGATTCTGAATAAGTCTTGTAGTGAGTGCTGCTCTCTCCAGGTGATTTCTAGCTCTTAGTGTTCTTGACTCTAATCTGTAGGGCTCCCTAGAATCTGAAGAATTTGGAACTGCCACTGTAGCCTTGTATGGGAAAATGAAATCTCTCTTCCTGTCATCAGCAGACACTGGTGAATCTCGGATTCTTCTTGTGAAAACAAAACCATGAGCAAACACCAGCCCCAGATTTCATGTGACACTGTTCCTGATTGCCAAGCCCAAGGTTGCCTTTGGCTCTACTGTGCCCCATTCACCCCTTCATGTACTCTCTTCTTTCTTCAAGATATTTTGTTGATGATCTGAACTTTAGAAAGCCCCCACTGAATTCCACTTTATGGTGTTGCTTTGGTAATTTTTCTAGATTTTTCTTTTCATTTAAACTGATTATCTCCATCTTCCTTGACAAAAGGCAGTTCAAGTGGATTTCACTTTGTACACGCTCTTTGTGCCTCTCTGAAAGGAACTGTGAGCAGAACACTATTTGATCCTTGGATCTCTGAGGTTAGGCAAGGAATTAGAAATATCTGAACTATACTTTAGCCCCTAATCTTATCATTCCAAATGTGTGCTTAATAAGAAGCAGAATCAATACCTCAGGTCAGAATAAGTTCAAATGGTCTAGAATTTTTATATCTCAAAATGAAGAAAAAGTGATTGGCTAGAAATGTTTTAAAATACTGTCCTTGGTTAAGTACATAATCATTCTCAAACTTTCCCCAGAGAATGTCATTTAAAGTGTTAAAGTTGAGATGATAAATGTGATTAACCAAATGCATAATTTTTTTCTTTGTTTTTGCAGTTATATTGGAGAGGAGACCCTAGGAAACAGACTTTCCAATGAGATTTTATAATAATAGAGCTTTTTCTGAACTTCTATCAATTCTAACCTGAAACCTCCCAAAATTTTATCTGGCTAGTAAATTCAGGGGCACAAAGTAGTCAAAATATTATTAAATTGCCTTTATCTTTTTGAGAGCTTGTTATAAAATGTATTTGGCACATAGACAGGAGAAGTTTGCACTAAATTGATCTGATCCAAAAGCTGGAGCTGGAGGAAACTGGAGATGGGGGCAGAGAAAGAGGGGGTGCACTCTTGTGAAATGGGCCACATGTCTCAGATGCTCATTCCTCTGAACTGGCACGGGAGTGACCACCTGGCCTTGACTCAGTGATGCCCACCTTGCTAGATGAGGACAGCTGTCCAAAACTTTAGACATAGAGGACCACTGATTTTGCAGTAGCCATATTTTCTTTAGATAGGTGATGATAAGGCCATATTATATGATTAGCTCTCTGGGTCTTTATATTACTTCTCCATTCTCATATCAAGACAAAGTTGTGAAATGTGACCGAGATCACTTGTGCCTTTGGGGACATGAGTCTATGGGACTCCATGGTTGCCAAGTCAGAGAAATTACTCTACTTGGTGGGGTCTGGCTCAACCTGAACGGTGAGGTGGCTGACCCACCAGTTCTGTGCCACGAAGGAATGTGTGGGCATCTCAGGCCCCTTCATCTGAGGGCATAGTTTGGGGAAGGACAGTCATATTTATTAACAGGGAAGACCCTGTTCTAGCTACTTTATGTAAATTATCCTTATATGAGTTATTCTTACTACAAACCTGCAAAGGCATACTATTTTCCCCATTTGGTGAGTTAGAGAGAGGACAGGAAATTTGCTGCAGGTCACACCTGGTTTGTTAGTAGCACAGCCAGTTTGCAAACAAAAGTCTAGTCAACAACAACTTGGTGTAAAAAAAAATAATTGAAAAATAATTAAAGAAGCTGGAGTCACAGATGAGGAGAGCCTATGGCTGGGAGAGTGAGCGTGGATATGGAGCAGGTTGGTATTGATGTGAGGTGAGCAAGTTGCAGAGCAGTATTCAGGATACAGTGAGACTGGAGATGGTGGAGCTGGGTCTCTGGACAAGGCACCAGGTAGGAGCAGGATCAAAATAACCCTTGGAAGAGGGTGGGGGTAAGGAGTTTGGTGCCAATTGGCTTAGGTTTCCACATGAAAGCCTAAGTGGCAAAGCACAAGCCAATTATTCTTCTACACAAGTATGCATTACTTGTAAGAGGAGATTAAACAATTTATCCTAGGGGTCAAGTCTATTTCTGGTATATATTTTTGTGACTCGGGTATGCAAGCCGTCTAGCTACCCATTTGATTGGGTAAATATACAGTAGCGAGCATCTTTTGGTTGACAGCCTGCACTTTGGGACTTGCGTGGTTGTGAAGACCTGGCAGAGAAGCTGGGGCTGCAGGATGGGAAACGACACTGTTGAATCCTCATTAGGGTGAGCCTGGATTGCACCGGCACACCTAGGGGCTGTGAAAGGATGTCAAGTCTGACCTTACACTGGGCGCTCTCTGCTTTTTCAGGTGGCGCTCAGGCACGAGGATGGCGACGAGACAGCCGAGCTGCCCCCCAGCAGTCGCCGGGACCGGAGGAGGGCCAGCCTGTGTTCCGGCGGTGGGGGTGAGCACCGGGCCCTGGACCGCAGGCGGAGCCGCAGGCACTCGGTACAGAGCGTCAGGAGCCCTCTGTCTGCTCCCACCAGTCCCATCTCCCAGTCGGCTCCTGGCTTCAAGCCCAGTCAAGTGCGAGAACTCCGTGAAAAGTAAGCATGAACCCAGCCATGGAGAGGGGCGCAAGGACACCAAAAAGACGACGGGCAGCCTCAACCTCACGGGTGCCCACTACCGTCCCTATCCCACTTGCTCCCCTGACTCTTCTCTACCACTCAAACTCCAACCCAAATGCCCACGGAACTACCCAGGGCAAGGTGGCCCTGGTGACATGCACAGATTTGATTTTGCAAGCCCTATGAACTTTTCTTCACCTACTTGTGTTTTTATATGATTTAACATCTCAGTTAATATCCGTTTAGAAAAGTGCATTATCAAATGAAAAAGAATCCAAAACACAAGCTTTGGCCTAGAAATATATGGTATGCTGCCACATAAATGTGAGATTGTAAGAGTCTTGATATACTCGTGACAATACATAGTTGAGGTTGAGTTAAATAGAACAAAACTGAGTTTAAAATATGCACATATAAATACGAAACATATAATTTTATATACATGTAAAATTTTAGTAAATACTAATGCCATCTTTTATTCAGCCAGTCATACAGCAACCATTCTTATTGTGTCTGTTATAGGCCAGGATTATCTGAAGCAATGAAAAAAATATATATATCTTCATATATCAGTGAGGATGTATGTGTGTGTGTGTGTGTGTATATGTATATAAATGTAAAAGGTATGATCTCTGTCCTTATGAACCTCACATCTGGGTTGGGAGAAAGACTGACAAAGTCATGAGAAATTATATATACCGGGGAGGCCAAAAAAATGTACACATTTTAAGAGATGTTATCTATGTATTACATTTTGAAGGTGAATTGAATTATGGTAGCAATGTGTAGCATGACATTTGCTCAAAAGATGGTGTTTTTCATATGCTAGTGTCATTCATTGTATTACAGTTTTAATACAGTTTTTTCCTTTCTTAAAATGTGTGTACATTTTTTGGCACCCTCTGTATATTCAAAATATAAAGTTTGACAAAAATCCGTGGGAACTCAGAAATGGTTCCATAAAACACAGATGCAACAAAAGGATGGCCATGCTGTTCGGGGTCTTCTCAAGTGCATGCTGTCCATTCACTAGGATAATGGGGTTCTGTGGACCAGTCCATGCCAGCTGGGTCCACAGGGGCTGACTGGTAGACCAATTTCCAGTACAGCACTTCCTACCACCAGCAGGGTGGAAGCCCTGCTCACATCATTTGGCTGGAGCATTTCCCCTATCATGGAGATTTATCTGGAAGACAATGTAGGACAGGAGGCTTGTGTGGCAAAGAATATAACTCAGAGTAAGTTGTAGGACCTTAAGATGGTGATCAAGATATGTCCCTTCCTCTCCATTCCTAAGGGACCACCTACCCCCACCACTACTGAGAAGTGCCACGAGACGTCTAGTCCTCATGGACTCACTGGAGTATGAACTAGCCCATGCTTTCGGTGTCTTCTGTTGCAGGAGGAGGGAGGGTATTGGTCTGAGAGTAAGTGCAAGGCATGGTCCCTGTTGTCATCTTTCTCTACCACGTACGCCTCCATCTACAGATTTTTCTGTTTCTAAGAGTCTGTGTACAACATGCTCTGTTTTAGTGAAAAGAAGACCCAAACTTCTAAAGAGATTGAGGAAGGAGAACACCTACCATGAGCACTGCCCTTTGTGATCTAAGATCTTTAAAAAAACGCAGGCGGTGCTCAAAGGGCCCTTGAAGTTCTCTCTAGCGCTGCTTCTCGCTCATGCTTGAGAAATGAACATGGAGAGCGTTGAGGAAAGTGGACACAAGGGGCTGAAAAAATCTGTATTTGAAACTGACAAAGATGCTGAGGGTCGGAGTTAGGAGACCTTGTCAGCAGCACTCGGTGATCTTTTTGCTGTCTGACGTGTGTCATGTTTGTGCTTGTTCTATTTCTTGCTGTTACACTTTTCAAAGGTCCCTGTGAGTTCAGATGACAATACCTTGTGATACGTTGGCAAAGGTAGCAGCAGTGGAGGGGACCACCCTGGGCACAGTTAACGGTTTCAAGGCGCTGGGCTGGATGGGATCTGGAATGGGGAAGCCATAGATGCTGCTCTGAATGCCGCCGTCTCAATCTTGTCAAACAGGGCTGATTTTTCATTGTGCTGAAATTATTACCTTGATGTAAATCCTAGCATTTATTTGAGAAAAATAACACTTTCCAGCTTGTAAAGGCAGATGAGGTTTGATAGGCTGATGGTTATGAAGTGGCTTTATCCATTAGGCCTTTCGGAGGGATGCTGCCCAGTGGCCCCAAAGCAACAGTCCGGTTTTGGCAGAAGTGGGCGTGGGATACAGGGAAAGGGTGAGGAGGAGCAAAATTGGAAACGATCCCTGCATGCATAGCTTAGTCACCTGCTCAACATCTGTGTCTCCAAACATTACCTTAGAATCAAGTAGTTCATTGTGTTTGATTCCCTATAGACCTTGAAAGACACAGAAACATGCCTAACCTAGATTATTCTTTATCTACCTGAACGCTCTGGCCCGACTTACTGCTAACTTGTAGCCACATGCCTGCCTGTGCCACAGAGGAGGAATTTTAGACTGGATTTTTATAACTCTGCGACCCAACTAAAAGCCAATACCTTTGAAAAGAAGATTGAAATATGTTAGAGGCTAGAAAGAGATTCATGATGTCCTAAAACGTGTATGGTACTCTGCACTCAGATGGCTGTTTTGTACCAGTTGATCGTTTTATCATTTAATTCTCACAATGAGCTTCTGTAGGATCCAGGCAGGACAAGTGTCATTATCCTCACTTTACAAATGAGGAACCAGTCACAGGGTTGGTGCCTTGGGACGAATTGCAGGACTAGGGGGCTGAACCGTGGGTTAGTTAAATCCAAACCTTTGGATTTTGCCTTTCAATGTCCAAATCAGACAAAACTACTTTCTCACCAGCCATTCCTAAACATAGTCATTGAGTGAGATTTGCACTTCTGACTTTTTAGAGAGGGAATTTGATTTACATACCATGTAGGTGTATTTCTATTGAGGTAAATACAAACATTCAAAGAGGGTTGAAAAGGGGAGATATTTCCAAGCCTTCTTACACAGACTTAGGCTTGCCTAGTCTATGTGCTTTAATTCTAAGAACTAATAAGACTCTAAACTCATATTACTTTGCTTTGGTTTCTGAAGAGATAGGCCCTCCACGTGAATGAAGCATTTACCAAATGAGGTACAAGTTTATTGGTCATTTGCCACCTAAAAGTATCTTTTATGACTGTGTGTGTTTCATCTTTGCACTTAAATTTACAGATTTGATCGGAAAGAAGAAAAATGTTGGCACTTTAATTTTTAACCAAGAAAACTTTATTTTTAGCATCTAGTCAGCAAAAAAACCAGTGACTCTGGTTTAAATTGTAATAGTATATCATCTTAGGACTAAAAGTTCTTCAAGGTTGTCTAGCCCTTTCCATGTACTTCTAGGTCCAGGGACTCTCCTCCCTGAGGCACCCCTCTCTCTGAGGCACCCCATTCTATCCTTGAAATTTTCTGTTTGTTAGGAAATTCATCTGACCTAAATTTGCTCCATAATATTATAACTCTCTAATTGCTTAGCATTCCATTATGTGGATAAAATTTGTTACCTGTATTGTTTTCCTGTTCTTCTTGGTTCGTACCTCTGTCAACACACAACCAGGCATTCTTCCTGCTCTGCCTATCAGTTTTTCTGGTACTGAACATTGCGTGGGACCTAATATATGAACTTGAAATTTCATCCTGTTGATCTCCACACAACATTCTAACCCATTGAGGTAATTTTGAACTTCATTCAGTCACTGGTGTTAGCAGTTGTGCCATTTAGCTTTCAGTCATGTGTATATTTTAATACACATGGAAAAGGGACCTGGCGGGTAGTAGATGATGACAACTGCTTGGGACTGAATGGTACAGACTACTGCCACATGCCTCAGAGGCAAGGGTCGGAAACTTTCTCTGTCAAGGGCCAGATAGTAAAGCCGTTAAACTCTGTAGGCCAGACAGTGTCTGTTGCAACTGCTCAACTGAATTCTGCCTTAGTAGCATAGAAGCAGCCATAGTCAACAGGTAAACGAATGAACATGACTGAATTCCAGTGAAACTTTATGGACACTGAGATGGGAATTTTACATGTCGTGAAATATTCTTTGAATTTTTTCCAACCATTTCAAAATGTGAAAACCATTCTTAGTTGACAGATTGTAAAAAAGCAGGTGGTAGGCCAGATTGGGCCTATAGGCTGTAGTTTGCCAAACCCTGTCCTAAGGGGCTGGGTTGCTTGAGAGAAGTTGTGAGGAAAATGGTCTGGAATTGGCAAAGAGGAGTATGTAGGGAATGAGAAAAGAACCCATTATGCCATGTGAGAGGGCTATAGAGAACAGCGTCCTGAAGTTCAGGGTTAGAGCAAGGAATATGCCACAAAGAGATCCGTACTCTAAGTGGATTTTGCTGATGGTTGCTCATGAGTTCCCATGGCACAGTGGGGGACTGAGGGGGTTGAAGAAGCAGGAGAGGAGTCAGATAAGGGAACGTACAGAGCCAGTTGGAAGAAAGGGGGTCTGGTGATGAGTCTAGAAAAGGTTGGCCTGCTCGGGGAGCTGGAGGCAGGCTGGATCAGTCCCAGTGGTCCTATAAGGCAGTGGTTGTGAACCAGAGATAATTCTGTCCCACAGGGGACATCTGGCAATGTCTCAACACATGTTTCGTTGTCATAACTGGGGTAGGAAGTGCTACTGGCATCTGCTGGGTAGAATCTTACGGGTGCTGCTAAATATTCTACAATGCACAGGACAGCCCCCTGCAACAAAGGATTATCTGTTCTAAAATGTCAATAGTGCTGAACCTGGGAAACTCGGCCTTAGGGGACAGCAGGTAATTAGTTATAATTTCCACTCCTTTCCTGGGATGTTGCCAATGTAGGAAGTGTTTTGGCTATTGGAAGTGGGTAGCTTTCTTAAAAGCACATAGAGCTCCGTGGACCTAACTTTAATGCTCATGTTCATGGGTCAAAATTTACTTTTATTCAGAGAA